CAGTCACTGCAGTGGAGGGTTTGGCATAAATTGATTTTGCTCAGGTGCAGTTTTGGAGCCCTTGAGGGGCCCAGCCCAGCAGGGCAGCACCCTGAGGCCTAAGGGTGGGAGGAAGGTGGGTGCAGGATCAGCAGCTCCACTTTGGTCACTGCAAAAATACAATTTCCTCCTTGTACTACCCTTACCTCCAGTGCCAGTGGCTTGGGTTGTCCTTCTCTGGCAAGCTGGGCTTTGTGTCCCACTGAATTCCACCTGAAATGCTCATTTCTGACATTTATGGGGCTCTCATTCCTGATTAATCCAGAATGAAGACCTTTGTGACCACTCTGAAAATTCATTTGTACTTGGAGGTGTTCCAGGTACAGAGTTATGGAAAATGCTTTGTTTCCTTGGCAAATAAATCCTGGGAGCTCAGGTGCATTTGTACTGAATGGCAGCATGCAAAGGAAAAGGCAAAAAGAGCAAGCAGGCTGCAAGAGATTCTGTAACTTGTCATCACATTCTCAAGAAATTAGACAGACAAAATATGATCACAAAGGCAGTGGGCTTCAGTGGAGGGAGATAATTGCAAGAATACAATTTCTCTGTGGAATTTCTAACACAGACATATGAATGAATGCATCCCATTATTTCCCATCTTTTATGATAGATAGGAGAGGAAACAAACACGTGATAGCAGCACAGAACACCTTCCACTGGAATATCACCCTGATAAATGCAAACTGACACAGAGTTTTTAATTTGTTTATTCCTGATTGGGAATCACAGCGTGCAGAATCTGAATGAGCCATCGGGTGCTGATCACCGACCCCAGGCACGTTTCTCTTGTTTGTGTTTGCTGCTTGTGGCAGCTCTTTCATTTGGGTGCCAGTGCCTCACTCTGAGGTGGCTTTTGAAGGTGCTGTTTGTGCTCAGGATGCTGCTGGACAGGAGACATTCAGGTGACTCTGATGCACTGGAGTTCATCTCTTCATCTGCTCTAAGACAGTAAACAGAATCTCATTCACTGCAGAAGCTTTAAACGAGGCTGTCTGATAAGAATCTGATTTTGACATGGTCTGGGTGCCACTTCCAGCAGTGGCTGGGGCTGGGCTGGGGTCAGTGCCTGCATTCTCAGGTGAGAATCCACATTTTGCAAAGTGATCTTTGCCTGGGGTGAGGCCCTGACAAGGCTGCTTTGTCTTGGGAGCATCCAGAGGAGTTTTCTGTCCCTAAGAGCTGCCAGTGCCCTGTCCCACCAGCTCACTGGGGAGGGGGATTTGGCTCAGCATCACCTCCTGACCCCAGCAGGAAACAACCACTAAATTCAGACCTTGCCAGGTCTGGGCAAGGGAGGAGCAGTGACTGAGGCTCCTCTGCTCAGGCACAGCTGGTTTGAACATTCCTGCTCTCCCTGCCATCCCTGCACTGATCCTGTGCTGTCAGAAATAAAAGCTGCTCCTTGTCACCCTCAGGACCTGTGGAGCCAGGCTGGTGACCCCTCACAAGAACCCCAGTGTCCTTGTCTGCTCCCCATCAGTCCCAATGTTGCTGATTTGTTACATTTTCCAGTCTATTCATGCACCCTCACAGGCCTCACTCTCTTCCTCTACATCCATCACTTTATTTCCTCAAAATCTTCCAGTTCCCCATTAACTGCTGTTCACTCAGTGTTTCCTTCTAAGTTTCTGTCAGTCCATTTTCTGTGTATTTTGCCACAAGATTTCGTATACAGAAATAGAAGAGCTGCATCTTTTTTTCTCCCTTTTATTCCTAAAACTTTAAAAATGACAGAATTGCTAAAATCTCTGGGCTGTATGGATGATAAGCACAATAAATGGCAGCATGGCACATCACAGAGCAGGTTAACTTCACATTTCAGACACTCAGAAGCAGCAAATTCACACAGCTCCTTCCAGCAAACCCACTCTGGCCCAGGGTGTTCTCCTTCCAAGTTATTAGTGTTCAAATGGGTCCAAATGATAGCAGTTTAAATAAAGTACTGAACTCATCTCCTTTATTCTTAATTTATAGTGGTGCTTAGGGGATGTGCAGATATTTAAAATGAGTAAAATCAATTAACTTGTGATCCAATTATTTGTGTTAGCCACTGTGGGGTTTTATTTCAGAGCACTTGTTCAGACTTTCCCAGTTAAGCTTTGAGAATATAAACCTTTCACTGTGAAATATGAGAAACCTGTGGTTATTTTTTTCTGTTTCCAAATGTAATTCCTATTTTTGCCCTTTCTTAGTTTTTAAATCACCTTTTTTACTTTTGTTTTTGAAAGGGATACGGTATAACAGATTTTTCTAAATGTTGGGAGGTTTATTCCTTAAATAAAGGTGACTGAACAGACAAAAGAGTTCACCTTCTAGATAAAATACACTGTATTTTTCTAGGCCACGGGATTTCACAGTAGATATGTGTCTTTTGCAATCCCAAATCTGTGATTTATTACACTTTTCACATTATAAATTTAGAGTAGACCTCTGTGACAACTTCTGTGGTCTGATCATTCTGCTTTTCCATCCATCTTGGACAGATTTTAGTCTCATGTTCCAGACAGCTCCAAATATCTGTGTTTATGTGGTTGTTTCCCAAATGTGAAGGACACTGGGGTGAGGGCACCACTGCAGCTGGAATTGTTTGGTTGGCCCAGCCTTTCCCTGTGGAATTTGGCATTTCCTGACCTGCAGGAGTCAGAACTCAGCAGTGCTGTGCCCCAGCAGGTCCTTGTGCCCTCTGCAGCTGAACTTACTGAGAGCTCTTCCTAAACCAGGGGAAAATGGGGATGCAGAAGAAAGCAAATCCCAGTTGAGATATCCTTGACTGAGACACCCTTAGCCTGAAATTCCATAATTTTTAAACCAGCTGGCAGACCATGCCAACCTTTTCCATCACAGTCTGGCACTGGTGGGGTAAAAATAATCAATTTCTTGCACAGGTTTCACAATATTGTATCTGAATCAAACAGCCATATCTTTCAGTATTTTACCCTAACAGTTCCCAAGGTGAGCTAGGTAGTACTGAACTCTTAATTGAATCAGACTGGAGGATTAAGGAAAAGATTTTTCCCAAGGATCAATATGAATTAGGAGCAGATGCCTGGTCAAATCTAAGGGTTAGATTCTTTAGTATTAGGCTCCTTGAAGCCTGGTCACCTTTTTATGCAGCTGAAGGGAAATTGTTGGGTGCCGAACACTTGTGGGGAAAAATCATGGCCCTTATGGTTCTGATGTCTCATATTATGCATAGTCAAGTTGGGAAAATATGAAATAATATAAAAATATCAATCAGGCTAATTGGTTATTTTCAATCAGAGTAAGAGGTACCCAAGTCTGCCTGACAGTGAAAATGTTTGGCTGAGCTGGAAGAACACAATCTTGGTAATCATTCTTCTGTTATTTCCAAGATTCTTAATAGAGTTTTCCTTTTAATTCGTTTCAAAGCAAGTGAAAATATTGTTGTATTATCATTTAGAATTAATTAAACTGAAAATGAGCTTAATGAACTGTCTGAAACAAAGCTCAATCACAACCTGTTACATATTAACCATCAAAATCAAAAGAATCTTTAAATGCTTTGTTAGATACACCAAGGAAGATAGAAATAGCCAGTTAATAATGTCATCCTTTTATGAAATCAGGTTGGAAAGCTTGAACTGAATGCATGCACTCAAATTATACAGAAAAATTGAAAAAGGGTTTGGGAAGACAAATCCAATCTATTGGAAAAAGAAGAAGAACAAAGATAACAATACAGGGGAAGACATAATCATCTTTTCTTTATTTTCATATGAGGAAATCCACTTTAACTACTATTTGTCCAGATTGGGAAATCTATATATTAATAAAACACCATTTTCTGTATTCAGTATTTCCCCAAACTCTTCTGCAGTGTTGTGACTTCTGGTGTTCTGTAAGACAGAGGAAAAGACATTTAGTTTATTCAGGTCTTGAAGCTGCTTGGGTGACTCTTGCCCTTGAGTGATGCATTGTCACCAACGATGCAGCTTTGAAGGAGCACACGTACAGCCAAACCTATTTGTGTCATTAAAGTTTGTAATTTTGGACTTTTGAAGGCTTAATCCCTAGAAATGCTAAGATTTCCTAATGATCTGTAATGGCAGTGCTGATGTTCAGCACTTCTCAGGATTAGGTCTGTTATCAGCCTGGTTTATCCACCTCCAAAGCAGGTATTATCTTATCACTCTTACATGCAGTGCTTTTAGCACGTCAGCCTCAAGCACTTGAAAGGTGAGGAGTGTTATTAAGTCTGACCCTTGCAAGCTTTTCCAATGGTTTGCTTAATGCTTTTTTTCCTGCATAAATAAGAATGATGGAGAATAAACTAGAATTTTCTTACGGGGTTGAATCGTCCAGCAACGCATTTCACAAGGTCATAAAAAAATCCTTCCACTGCACAAAAGAAAGCAGCACTGACTTTTAGTTATGCAGACAAAGTGGTAGCATGAGGTCCAATTATTTCTGAGTGTCTTAGAGCAAGGCCTCAAAAAATGCTCTGGGAATGGTTTTTGTGAGACCTGTTTTGTGTCTTGATAACAGTGCAGTGAAAAATGAATGGGTGTGGGATAATTCATGAAAAAAAGAGTACAAAATGCAAAACTGGATTTATTTGTGAATAAAAGTGGATTTGGAGGCAGAAGTGGTCTGAACAAGGCAGGTTCCTCTTCCCTCAGTTCCCTTTCTGGGAATACATGCAGCTGTGCAGGTCCCTTCATGCTTCACTTTCCAGTGATATCAGCTGAACTGTCTGCTTGTGATCAGAACCTTTCCAAGCTCCATTCCCATCACATCGCTGCTTATCTGCCATCTATTACTGGAGAGCAGCTGAAATGTGCCACCTCATATTTCATAAGTGAGAATGCATTATTTAAAGTTTCGGTCGAGGATTCCATCTTCCTCCTGCTGGGGTAAATAATTAATGCTGCCTTGGATATTTTGTGTGGTCATTAAGTGGAGATAGTAACGATTTCCTGTGTGTTTTTTTTTTTTCCCAGTTCCAGGCCACAGTGAAGGAGGGGGTCACAGGTGTGATAGTGAATTTAACCGTGGGTGACCGGGACGACCCCGCCACGGGGGCATGGAGAGCTGTCTACTCCATCATCAATGGGAACCCAGGGCAGAGCTTTGAGATCCACACCAACCCCCAGACTAATGAGGGAATGCTCTCTGTTGTCAAGGTAAGAGCAATCCCCTCCTGCCCTGTATTTTTGCTGTCAGGTTCATCCCCCGGGTTCGCTGCACAAAGCAAGGCACAGCAGGGATGGGTTATTGGAAGATATAAAGTTGGCTGCCAGCCCTTGTCCAAACTATGTGTGTGTAACCCCTTCTTCTGTCACAGTAACCTTGTTTTTAGTCACAAGGACTGCCTGTCCCTAACTGTTGTGCTTACATAACAGCCAGGGTTGCAGTAAGCATCACAATTAATGGTGAGATTTGACAACAAAAATTTGTCGCTAGAGGTACAATTAGAATTCAAGACCCCCATTTTGCTCTCACTCAGAGAACACATGCAAGTAGCAGGGAAGAAAGGGACATGGATTCAGACTGAATCCACAGTTCTGAAGTGGATTGGTCCCACATTTCTAAAATCTTATAGGAAAATTTATTGCCTGTCTTAGTATGAAACAATCCTATGTTTCAAATGTAACAAAATAAAAAAAAAAGAAGAGGAAAATAGCCCTGTTTGCTGCCTGTGCCAGAATGCTCTCTTTTTGGCTTCAGAAGAGGCATTGTCAATTCTTAAGGCAAGTGCATGTATTTGCCTTTGATTTCAAGGCAAGAGTTGAGAAAGCAGCTTGTGTTATTGTCATGAGTGTGACTCATGTGTTTGTTAAATACATGCTGCATATAAATAAACACGTATACATGAGCACTGAGCTGTGTCTATGAGGGATGCAGCAAAATGTGAGCTCTTGGACGGGGGGATGTCTCCATGGGTTTTTTAATCCATTATGTTTATCATCTTCAATGCCCTTCAGAACTGAGTGTGTCTAATCCTGAGCTGCCACCAAGCTCCAGGTGCAGGGAGTGTCCTTGTCCCTTTCTGGCTAATTCTGCTGCCTGCAGTTTTGCTGTGGGCTAAAGGAACAAGCATTGAGCATTGTCTTTGACCTCTGCCCTCTGATCTTCTTCTTTGCAGCCTCTAGACTATGAGATTTCAGCCTTCCACACGCTGCTGATCAAAGTGGAGAACGAAGACCCGCTGATCCCAGACATCACCTACGGGCCCAGCTCCACAGCCACGGTGCAGATCACCGTGGAGGACGTCAACGAGGGCCCTGTGTTCCACCCCAACCCCATGGCAGTGACCAAGCAGGAGAACATCCCCGTGGGCAGCGTGGTGCTCACGGTGAACGCCACCGACCCCGACACGCTGCAGCACCAGACCATCAGGTGAGAGCAGCGCCCTCTTGTATTTGGTGGGCAGCAAGGAATGATCAACCTGACCCTATGTGCCCAGAAGGATAATTTATTATTTTATGATGCTATATTATGTTAAAGAATGCCATGCTAAAGAATACAGGAAGGATACTTACAGAAGGCTAAAAAGACAAAAATGAAAACTCGCGATTCTCTCCAGAGTCCTGGCACAGCTTGGCCCTGATTGGCCAAAGAGTGAAAACAACTCCCAGCAGAATCAATGGAACAATCACCTGTGGGTAAACAATCTCCAAACACATTCCAAAGCAGCAAAACACAGGAGAAGCAAATGAGATAATCATTGTTTTCCTTTGTCTCTGAGGCTTCTCAGCTTCCCAGGAGCAAAATCCTGAGAGAAGGGATTCTTCTAGAAAATGTGAATGCCACAGTGCCCCCTCATTTTCGTCCTCCACTAACTGGGAATGTGCCCAAGAATTTGCCTGCCAGTGCAGAATTCTGTTTAACTTAGTAAGAAGTCACAATTTATATTTTGTTCTGCAATTAGAGATTCAGTTTGTTGAAAACACAAATTATTGAAACAATAATTTTCCACACCATGAAGTTCCTACAGTAGAACAATCAAGTGCCACAAGGAATAGACTTGGCTTAACGTACTTTCAAAATTACTTTTAACCTGCTTGTTTATTCCTGTTCCTTCGTGAGACCCAGGGATAAGAGTTTAAAATATCTATAGAAGTGATGCATCTGTTTTACACAGGGTTTAAATCAGTTTATGATCATTTATAAAGTCCCTCAGTAAAATAATGACTGTCCATGTACTTTCAAGAGCTGAGAAAATATTTCAGTGAAAGACTGAAGCTAAAGGAAGCCAAGACTTGGCCCTGCCCAGATAAATGAAAATAAATTATTATTTCTGTGCTGTAATATTATAATCCCACGCTTGTGCCATGTCACAAGGGGCAAACCTGGGTGTTCAATGGTATCATCATCTTATATTTTGATCCACCTGCTTTGTTCCTTTGGCTTCAGATTCTCTGAAAAATGAAAAAAACCAAGCACTTTGTTCTCTAAAACTAAATTGGCTTTCCAGACAGCTTTTGTCAGCATTTGAGAATTACAGGTTAGGCACTACCACTAAAACCTACAGCTGTGTTTAATTTTTCATTTCTCCTTGTAAGTATCATTTCCCCCAGGTCTCAGTGTATATAAAAGGGGATAAACTCCTTGTGAGAACGACTTCAAAGCTGCAGCTGAACAATGGCTCTGTCAATCCAGACCATAGGCAGAGCTCTCTCTGCTGTCACAGGGTTATTTAGCAGTGATTGTGCAATCCTTAAAGAAGGTTTGACACGTGTACTGTCCCACAATAAGGGAAGCTGCTGATCTTGGAGATGTTCTCTGTCAGCAGCAAGTCTTGGTGAAAATGTCACTGCAAAGGACTCGGATTTGAATGATGAGCAGGTGAATTTAAGGCAAGGCAGATAATTAAAAGTTTCAGTTCTCTGCATCAAAGATAATGTTGTTAATAACATTAATAGTTCAGGTTTTTTTCCTTCAACTTCTACCACAGAAATATCAGTTTATCTGCTGGATGATTCTTAGCACATCATTTCCCTTGTTTTATAAATAGATTTCTTTATAGATTAATTTCTTAATCTTAAGTTTAGCTTTTGCTCCAAAGACCCCTTATTTCACACACAAAAATTTGTGTCTATGGATGGAATTTCTGTTGTTTGTCAGACCCTCAGCAGCTTTGCTCAGGATCTGCCTTGTGCAGGTATTTATTTCCTTTGTGTTTTGGACTGAGTTTAAGAAATGAATTTATTGATGCTCTCCATAATTTATGTATTTTCATACATAACATTCATTAACAGAACACCTGACTGTGTGATGCTAAGAGAGAAAAACCATGAAAATGCAAGGATTTCATTACCAAAGGCAACAATCCAGGAGCTATTACCCAAAATTTTCCCCTTGACCTACTGATTTTGCTGAATTTCTCCAAACTTCATTGACCCTGAATTTAAAGGGCGCCCAGTGAGTCAGTGAATAATCTTCAATTTGCTTTAAGGGTGGTGTAAACAGTTAAGAAACATAAACATATTTTACAGTGCACTACACCTGGTGCCAAGGAACCCCCAAATCTTGACCAACTCATGAGATAAAGAGAATTTTACCTCTCTTTATCATAAGATAAAGAGGAGTAAAACTTCCCAGAAGTTTTACTATATCTGCATAGCAAACATGGAAGGCTTATAACCCAAAGCAAGATTTTTTTTTTCCTGTTATGTGCAGAAAAGAAGAGCAGAATTAAGCTAGACTGGGCTGAGAATGAGGAATGATCATATAAAGGAACTTTGGAAAGGGAAATCGTTGTGTAGGTTAGAGGAAAATGATGCAAATGTAATGGAAATCTGGGCAATGGCAGAATGTATCAGGAAAAGGCTAATTTGAATACCTGTCAGTCCTACTGCTAAAATAACAGGAAAGCATAAAACAGCATTTTTAAAAGATGTTTTAATGCTGACAGGTGTTGAAACACCTGGGTGCCAGCAGTGAAAAAGGCAGACTGTGGGATGAGAACAGCATCTGCAATTAAGGACAAGGTGAAATTCCATGTGTAAAAGCCAGAACCACTCACTGGCTGGGGTCTGGCTGAAATGTTTATCTCCAATTCCCACAATCAGGTGTGTGTTTAGAGTCTGGGACAATGTGCAGCACTTTCATAGAGCCCTGATTCCAAATTTGTGGAATCCAATAATAATGGATAATAATAATAATAATGGATAATAATAATAATAATAATAATAATAATAATAATAATAATAATAATAATAATAATAATAATAATTCCAATAATTCCAATAATTTGTGGAATCTAATTCCAATAATGGTGCCATCAGTCCTTGCTATGGTAAAATAAAAGCCAAGCAGGGTCAGCACAGGCTCCTAAATGAGTCTGTGGACTAATTGATGATTAATAATCATGAGTGAGCAATGTTTTGTCTGCAAGAAGCAATGAATGTCAGATTTGTGCTGTGTGAACCGTGTACATCACCCCCAACAAAGCATAAATCTCTTCAAAATGGGCAGACCAGCAGGGAATTAGTGATGTTGGTGGGCTTTGGGTTCTTTTGTTCAGCCTGTTACAACTGAAATATATCCAATTGCAGGGATATTTTTAGTTAATTTTCTGTATAGGACTTGTAGAAAGGAGCTGCTGATTATTTGTAATCAGGAAATTTAGTTACTCTACTAGATATAACATGATAAATGCATTTCAAGACCAACAAAAAAGAGTAGAGAAAGCATTTTTGCCATTGTCTGCAACTAGATTGAATTTATTCTTTGAACAATGCAGATCTGAATCAGAATCGAATTACTTATCTCTGAAAAACGTGGCTCACTTTGTAAAATTTCCTGAAGACAGCTGTACTTTTGAAGCAATTTTCCTTCTTATTCTTCAGCTTCAAGTGTTTTTGCAGGCTGAGGAAGAATTTCATTACAAAGCTGAAACAAGCTGGCAAAAAATGTGTTTCAGTGAGAAAAATAAGACTCCAAAAGCCAGAGCTGGGGCTGTGGCCATTGGTCTGCACACCAGTGGCAGAACTTGCATTGGCACTAAAATTCCCTTTCCATTGGCACTAAAATTCCACAGGAACTCCAGGCAGAGGTGGGAGCATCATCCTGCAAATAAGAGGTGGAAACCTGTGTTTGTTCCACTCTCCTTGCTCCCAGAAAGAAAAAGAACCTGTTCAAGCTGGGTCACATTTCTCACATCCATTGACCTTTCTTTTTCCCTTTTTTTTCCTTCTTTTTTAAGCATTTAAATCTCTCTCCAGTTTCCATCTTTTCTATTAAAAAATGAAAGAAATCCAGCAGGCCCCATTTTAATTATAACCCAACAATTTATTAATAGAACAGTAATGAAGTTTCTGAAATTTGATTTCTTAATCAGGGACCATTGTTATTTTTGTGCCAGATTTGAGAGTTTAATTTTGGGTACTTCTTCCCAACCTCTGAAATTTTAATCAGAAGTTTTAAGTGTACATGTCAATGAGAAGTTAAAGGCCAAATTTAATAACATTTTCTACCTTGGGAAATTAAAAGAAGAACCTCACTCTGAAACCCATTATTAACAGTAGATCTTAATTAAACACAGTTATGGTTCTCAATATTTGACTGTGTGAAGAGATTGGTTTCAGTATTTTTTCCCTTTTTAGGATTCAACAAGTGCAGAATATTCAACAGTTAAACTTTTAACTACGTGCAAATAAGTTGTTTACTGCAGTGTATTTGTAATTTTTAATTAGAGCAGTGTTGTTTTCTGGTTTCGTGGCTTATCATGGCAATATATTTTTATTACCTACTGTGCTCTTGGATTTTAAATTATTTATGTAAACATATTGTTTATTCTCAGTGAGCAATGTGACTCAATGCTTCAGAAATATCTTCATAAGAAAAGTTTATTACAGCTCTAAAGCATATCTAATTCATTAAGTAGAATTAAAATGCAGCATTTGAAGCTGGAGAACTTAGAACCCAAACTGAACTGAGTTTCACGGGCACATGAAAGACTGCAGAGATATCTGAAGCTCTGTATGCAAATAAGGTACAGATTTATGTGTAATATTTATGTATAATATTTATGTATAATGTTTATAGCAAGCTACCCCACATGGTACAGGTGGCTCCTGGAAGCACAGGGACATTGTTTCCACGTCTGGAAATAGGAGCAAAGTCATTTATTATTGTCAACATTTCCAAATAACAGCTACTGCTCTGTCTGGGAGGGGACAGACTCTGTTTTTCTTGATAAAAATTGCATTTTTCTGTGCTGCAAATGAAGCATTAACCAGGCTTCATGCTGGAGCATCAGAGCAGGGGAAGGAGGAGGCTGAACCCAGCTGAATGAAGAGTGGTTGTGGGTTTTGCTGCCTTGGAGGAGGTTGTAGTGAGTCTCTTTTGTAAAGTCTCCAGTGAAAGGATGAGAGGAGAGAGAGAACATTCAT